AATCGCTCGCGCGGCTGCGTTCTGGACTAACTGAAGTCTTCGAACACTCTTCAAGGGCAGCCCCATGTAGAGCGCATTACAGTTGTCTGGACCTCAACTTTAATAGTATGGCAAAGACTTATGAGAAGATTGCAGACCTTCCAATCTATACTTGCAATCTGAAAATAATTGGAGTCTGCTCGCAATCTAATGTTAAACAACATACAAGAAATAATACTGTGCACCACTAATCACCTGATAAGTGCAATGGTCATGTGACAAAATGAACATTTGAATACAGCTCCAGAACGTAGCCAGAAGATCCAGTCTTTGCACCCGCGATGTAGCCTGCCTGCCTTCCTTCCTTCCTTCCTTCTATAAAATCTTTTACAGAACAAGTTGAACAGAGTTTCCGAAAAAGGGTGGGATGTGGTTATCCTTATTATTCCAATGGTTTCCTAGCTTCTCAAGACAGGTGGTGTAAATGTATCAGTAACCTTTCCTCCAGAGATAGGGTGAACGTCTTCAGAACACTAGAGGCCACAGACTGAAAGAAATGATGTTGTGAGTGATGGATTTGAATGTAAGGTGGGAGATGCTGGACATTTCCTGATTTGTTCCTTCATAATCATCATTAACACATTAGCCGTTGCCGAGGGAATAAATATGACTGTCTCCTTCTTTCTTACATTTTAGCCATTGGGAATGCCTACGCGGTCTTGAGCAATCCAGAGAAAAGGAAGCAGTACGATCAGTTTGGAGATGCCAAAGTCAGCTCTACGCGACACGGTCATGCAGACTTCAACCGAGGCTTTGAGGCAGATATTTCTCCAGAGGATCTCTTCAATATGTTCTTTGGTGGTGGTTTTCCCTCTAGTAAGTCATGAATTTTGTGTGCCTGGCTGGCAAAAGGGAAGGCTCTTAAAGGAAAGGGGATACCTCTGAGTTGGCTCTCCGCCTGTTTCTTCAAGGAGGGAATCCAAGATGGAAGTGTGACTCATTTGTCATGCCAGAGGGGACAGTGCTCGGTGAAAGTCCTAGGCCAGCCTTTCTTGACAGGGCAGTTTTTGAAACTTCTTTAGAATTATAATAGAAATTTGATAATGGTTTTAACAAAAATATATACCGTATTTTTCTGACTATAAGACACACTTTTTTTGTCTTCCAAAAGGGGGTGAAAATTTCTGTGTGTCTTATAGACTAAATATTGCTGAAGCCCCACCCACCTGCCAGCCATTTTTTTGCCCTCCTCCCCCCCCTCTTGGTTTTGGGCCTTTTTTGGCTTTTTTCAGACCTTTTTTTTTTCAGCTCATTTTTGAGGCTTTTTTGAAATGTTTTTGAGAGTCGTTCCCCCCCCCCAAAAAAGCTTTGAAAATGGGCCAAAAAAAGCCTAAAAAATGGGCCAAAAAAAACCTAAAAAAAGGGCCCAAAAGCCTTGGAAATGCTGGCTC